AAAAAAAAAAAAAAGGGAAAGGAGCAGCCCACAATTCTTGAAGTTTTGCAGCAGCCGGTGGATGATTGATGTGCAATTCACATTGCATTTCCCCTCTATAAATAGAGGACATCAGACAGAAGCAAGACACCACAACAAAACACCAAGAACAACCAAAATACGAGAGAGAAAAAGAAGGAGTGAGCTAGAAAAAATAATCTAGCCTTTGTATGTATTTTCGAGTTGTGAATTGTGAGTGAGTTTGAGAGTGTTTTGTAAACGAGAGTGTATTTCTTTTTCCCAATAAAATATCTGCAGTAGTCCGGAGACGTAGGCATTATTGGCCGAACTCCGTTATCAATTTGGTGTGTCCAATTTTTATTTTTATTTCACTTTTATAGATCCGACTTCATGGAAATTTCAGCCTATTTTTCCCAACAAAAACAATATTTAACTTATTTACCATTAGAACTTGTTAAGACTTTTTAAGATTTGTTGCGATTTCTAAAGAAAAAATGTATACGAAATCTCATTCCAAATTTAGCGATATATACGAAATCTCATTCCAAATCTCGCTAGACGTAAGATTTCATATGATTACTCATAAATCTGAAAATCTTGAAATGTCTTAAATCTCAAAAGTTTCAAGATGTCACTTGAAATCTCAAACGAATCTATTAGTCTTTGATAGAAGAATGGATGGTTTTGACAAAAATTATTCCAAGGCCTAATATTTATATCAAAATATATTAANAAGTTGAAATTTGGTATATTTGTTATTAAAATAGATTAAGTTTAAATTTGATATACGAAAATCATAACGTGGGATTATTTGGATGCCAAAAATTATTATTTCCTATATAATTACCTCATCCATTGCACAAATAAATAAAAAAGCTTATCGTGACTAGAAATTAAGGGGTTGATTGGATATGAATTCAATTAGTAAAAAACTAATTTTTTTATTTTTATTTTTTTTAATTATAGTTAAGTTTGAAAAAATGTTGTATGGTTAGTTGTTACTTGTTAATGGATATATTAAAATACTATTTAAAATAAAATAATTAAATTTGTTTTGACGTAAGAGTAAGAGAAAATGATTGAAAGTGATGGTTAGTTAAAATTATGTGAGTTGACGAATAGTAAATTAAAGTTGATGTGATGTGTAAGAATGATTGGTTGATATTATTTAATTATATTGATAATATTAAAAATAGTTGTGTGAAATTACAGTTGAGTTTTGAATTTTGATTGGTTGTTTAGAGCATGATTGAATATAAAAAGTTTTTTGTTTTGATTGGATTTTTGGTTTGGATTGGTTAAATTTGAAAAAGTTGGTATGGTTAGTTGTTAGTGGGTATATTAAAGTAATATTTATAATAAAATGTTTAAAATTAAATTGATGTAAAAGTAGGAGAGAGAATATGTGATTTGATAGTTAGTTAAAATTATGTGAGTTGATGAATAGTGAATTAAGGTTGATGTTGTGTGTAAAACTGATTGATTGATATTATTTAATTATATTGATAATATTGATGATAGTGGGGTTGAGTTAAAATTGAGTTAAAAAATATTATTGAGTTAAAAATGATTGAATTTTTTTACCTGAATTTATATCCAATCATACTCTTAATGTGCAATCTATATCCAATGGCTCCCTAATCCTAAACCTTCTTCACAAACCACAGCCCTAAACACATACCATTAAAACATCTTACATAGATAAAAGAAACATTCAGTGTAGCTGTAATGATTTTCATTTCTTTTTCCTTTGCACTAGTGAAAAATAATCACTGCTAAAAAAAAAAAACAATCCCAATCAAAACATTTTCTAGCATATTGCCCAGATTTCTCCACGTCTATAAAAGTGATGAAAATGCTCGTCTTCTAAAATATGAGAGGAAACCTGAAGAAAACTGAACCCAACCTTTCTTCAACTTCCCCTAGAGTGTTTTTTTTCTTCACCCGATGGCACTTTTCTTCAAAGCGCATCAAGTATCGCTGCTATTAATAGCAATCCTAACCGTTTCTGGTTTTTTCGGACCGAGGGTACAAGCCTTTAAAGCGCCCTTTCGGGCCAGAGACATCTTGCCCCTGCTCCCCAGGCAGGTTTCGTGGCCAATCTTGAACGCCCTGAACAACGCGGCGGATTTATTGCCATCTTTTGTGGGGGCCGCCACCGCTACTAACGGTCCCACCACTTTGCACTGGAAAGGAGCTTGCTTCTACAATAACACTGCTTGGCTGGAGTTCCACAATAAATCTGAGAGTGAATTTGGGGGCGGTACTCTTCATATCAAGGTAAAAAAATTTGATTTTTCCCTTTTCTTTTCAGTTCTTGGTTTGGAAATTCCTTCCGAATGCTTGACTTTGTGTTTTGGGAGGTTTGGATTTTGTGGTTTTTTGAATATTGTTCACCCGAATTGAGCTGTTCCGTGTATGCCTGGTGCTATAGTCTTAGATTCGATTGCTAAAAAGTTGGGGATTTCTTGCGCTTTTCACTTATTACGTGAACTGTAGTTGTTTTTCCTTTAGGGTTGGTCATGTTTGATTATAAATCTGCTTAATTCTCCTTGAGCAGTAAGTTTAGAATATTGTTGGTTTTCTGGGTTGGGGAAAAGATGGTATGAAAAATTGAACTGTCTCCTTCGTTTTTTGCTGTGTTCTGTTTTTAGAATCTGGAGATGAGGGATGATGATGCTAGGCAAAGTGAGTTTTGCTGTCAATTTATTACTGCAGCTATATTTGGGGCTTTTGGTTTCCTGTTTCATTTTCCATGCCCGTGTGTATTCCATTGTGGATGAATACCATGTATCCCCAAAAGTTTACACTATCAAATTATACATGATTATACATTTTTTCGGTAGACGGTTCTCAAGTCTAAAATTTATTTCGATATCCAGGTGAGTAACGCACATAGTTGGACATGTATGGACCTCTATGTATTTGCAACTCCATTTCGTGTGACATGGGACTATTACCTTCTGTCTCGCGAACACACCCTCGAATTTAAGGAGTGGGAGTCACAAGCTGAATTTGAATACGTGAGTTGAATTTTGTAATCAGATCCATATCCGCGTAACAATTTTTTTTTTTTTTTTTTTCAGTTTTTTTTTTTTTTTTTTCAGTTTTTCACAAAAGTGGAACTAAAAATTATCTGTACATCAGGTAAAAAATCGGGGGGTCTCGATTTTTCTCATGCAAGCGGGAATGCTGGGAACCCTTCAGGCTCTGTGGGAAGTTTTCCCTCTATTCACAAACACTGTATGGGGCGAAAATTCGAATCTTGCATTTCTCAAAAAGCACATGGGTGCTTCTTTTGAAGAACGGCCTCAGCCTTGGGTCACAAATGTTACTGTTGACGAAATCCACTCTGGCGATTTTCTTGCACTGTCGAAAATACGAGGTCGTTGGGGTGGTTTCGAGACATTAGAGAAGTGGGTTACCGGTTCTTATGCAGGCCACTCGGCTGTCTGCCTAAGGGACTCGGAGGGCAAGCTTTGGGTTGCCGAATCAGGACATGAAGATGAGAAGGTGACGGTTTAGATCTTATCTTTAAATTGGGATTTTGTTGCTTGTGCATTTGAGTAATCTTGGTTTGTTGTGCTTGAACATTTGCCACTTATATGGATCTTATGAGTTTTGTACATTTTATTGTCAGTCATTTTGTTGGGGCATGGTTTATTGTAACTAGTCGACTCTTGGGAACTCTTTCTGTATACTTGTTTAAAAAAAAAAAAGTTCAATTTGAATTTGGATGTAGCCCTTTTATATCTCTCTATGTGTTTAATTCTAACTGTTTTCAAAAACTGCAACTCCATGTCCAGTGTACAACAACAACAACATAGCCTTTAGTCCCAAGCAAGAACTCCATGTCCAGTGTAGCTGATTCTAAATTGGACGGTGGGACTGTGTTGTTTACAATATCAATTTGAGCGAGAAATTATTTTCTGTTATGTTTGAATAATTTTAAGTCATATTCTTCTACCACACGACAGTCTACACATAATTACATCAGTGATTTGTTA